AGTTACATTTAAAAGTATACGTTCATAGAATTGCTTAATTTTTTTTCTTAATCGTGCTTTATTAATTTTGCTAATAATATAATCGCACGACGAATTGAAAAAGTAAATTAAAATATTTTCTTCTTAAGATCGCAAAACTTACTGTTGCGAAGCACGTTATAGGGTAATATGGTATTCATCTCTAAAACGATGAAGCTCGTACTCTAGAATATCTGGGTATAAAATTACTGCATTCCCATTGGTCGAAGAAATATGTAAAGAACCTTAAAGTCCCTGTGATAATTTTACCATAGAGGAATATAAGTTTCAAAATTAGTAATAAAAGTAAATGAAAATTTGAATTTGGCTTAAAATTTAAATACATTGTACCGCTTTCAAGACTTCAGAAAAAAATGTATAATAAAATATTTTAATATTTTCGATAATTTAATTTTGAATCATCTTTACAATTCTTACTAATTTTACTATTATAAAATGAGTTTTTATTAAATTGATATTTCCGTTTAAATATTCTAATATGAATAAATTACATGTGTACATCGAACTTTACTAATAATAAATATGTAGCTCAAAAATGCGTCTCTTTGAGTTCTTATAAATATATTTATTCGTCTTTAATATACATAATATTACAAATAAAATAGTGTGAATTAAAATAGACATGTAACAAATATACAATAGAAATGCGTGTGTATGGAGCATTGTAATACGATAAAATATGGTTATAACAGACCTTGTCTTTTTAGATCCTCATATGTTTTACGATTAACAACATTTCCAAGAGAATCTTCAAATTCTTCTTCTTGTTCTGGTTGCCAACGTTCTGCTTGTTTCTGAGCTTTTAATTTTTCCCATAGAGCTAAAGCATCTTCTATTTGTGTCACATTAGCAAAATGTGCAGTATTTGGAATACCAAGGCAACGCATACCATGTGCATGCCTCCATTCTGCAAAGTGTCTTTGGAAAGCTTTTGGTCCTTTATATGTAAAATTCCCACATATTTCACAATTATAACTAATATTCAAGCCATGTAATTTGTATAACCAATATGGTATAGGTTTACCATCCCAACCAAGTGGGAGGTTTTTAGGATTATAAGGTACTTCATTGTCATCTTCTTCTTCTGACTCACTAGCACTAGCTTCAGCATCGGAATCTCCTCTCTCACCTTCTGTTCTAGCTTGTTTTCTCTGAACATTCTCTTTTGTGGCTACACGTTGAGTTGATACCAATTCTGCAAGTTTGTAAACCTGTGCTTCAAAATGTGCAATCTCTTTTTGTTTCTCAGAATTTCTTCCTTTTCCAGACTTTCTATTTCTGTTATTTTTAGCTAATAAATTTGGATCCAAAGATGCTTCACCTTTCGTACTAAAAAGCCTTTGAGCTCTCTCTTCCAATGTACCGCCACACTTTAAACCCAAAGCCATTAATGCAGACTTTAATCTGTCTAAGCCAAGAGATGCAAGTTCCTCCCATGAAGAAAAGGCAGAAAGTTCTAAATGAGCCCCTACATGAGTTAAAGCACTACCAGTTTCCTTCGGCCATCCTGGAAATGTATTGTTCTCCCATTGTGTTTCAAACTCGTTATTTGCTTCTTCCAACTCTGCACTTATGTCAAGTAAAGGTCTAACTCTACTTAAATAATCAGTTAAATATTCTAACAGAGACTCCACATATTTTTGATATTCAGCATTTTTCCTTTCTCTTGGTATGTCAAATAAATGATCGAAAGTGGATAGATATGTAATATAATCTATTTTTTCTATGCCTTTAAGGTTGATATATTTTTCATAACATTCATGGAGATCAAGATATTTCCCATAACCTTCTTCATCTGTAAATTCAACAAGATTTGAAAGTTCCTCTGTTGGGTTTTCCCTCATTTTGGCTAGTTCTTCAAATTCCACAGACATTGGAATACTTATTTCGTTAGGATGTCGACGATAGAATTCTTTTATAGATTTCAATCTTGAGTAAAATTCGGAAAACTCATTTGGCCCAGAAAGTGCTTGCACCTAAGTAATAAAAATTTGATTATTAGATGGTAAATAAATTATAAGATATCTAACTTACTTCTTCTTTTCTTTGTCCATCTTTATCTTCATACAAATCTTGCAAATGTGATGTACTATCCATGTACTGATCGAGCAGCATTTTTAACCGATGTTCCGAATTTATACTTTCTCTATGTCCAGGCTTTTTGTAAAGCATTTCTTTGACCATCGCGTCCATTAATCTTTCTCTTTCTTCATGATAACGTCGTTGTTGTTCTAATATTGTTTCCATTTTTTCGAGTCGTATGCAAACAACGCTTCCAATTTCTTTCTCGACAATTGTCGATTACATACAAATTATAGTACAATTCAATATAGACATCATATCATGGTGAAAAATGTATACTATTAACTGTGTTACCATCTAGCGACCATTATAGAAGACTATATAGTGTTATGAACTGGTTTTGGCATGTGACTCCCTCTATCGTGAATATTTTGTATGATAATAAGGTAAATTCTACTGCTGCAAATTTAACTGTACAGCAGCGCAGCCGAGGCATCGAACAAAAGTTATTTAACAAATTTATTTATTACATGTTAAAATTATTTATCAGTAACAGCTGCATTCACTCTCAAATTTCGTATTTACTTTCGTTACCATAGGAAAAAATTGCCAAGGTATGAATCGCTCTCCTTCTAATATTGTAAACTCCAATCAAATTAATGTTTATTAGCACTAGTTAATAAGAATTTGTCTTATTGGATAAAAAATAAATCGTAGATTGTCATGTAAATTCGAGAAGGTAAATGGACTACTCTGCGACCCCAAAAAGTGAGAATCGTTAGAATTGTTGAATCTTTAGAACCGTCATGCTGAGCTCAAAATCTAAATAAATTTCATTACTTACTATAAGTATTCAATTTTAAATATAATCAGTTTTAAATATAAATTTTTGTTCAAGTTAATCTTTCTCATTATGTATTTCTTCATTTAAACATCGAGTTAGTTTTCGAATTGTTTGAAGTTGTTACGCGAACAGAGTGCTTCAGCATTTTATGGGCTGTAACCGCACCAAATTTGCGAAAATCTTGGAAAGGCCACGCAACAACAAACATAAAATATATAATATAATATATTATATAATTATAAATAAATAATATAATTGAAAAAATATACTTGAAATTGGAAGATATAAGATAGTGTTGTATCCACCTCACATAAAATGGACTTTGTTTATTATATTTTGTTGGCATTTTTTTTTAAATTCATATCCATTCTTTAATCATATAAATATCAAATTTCATCAAATCAGATATTAAAATTACATTCTCTCTTACATCTTTGAAAAAAAAAACTTGTTTAATAATTATAATAATCACGCTGTTTTTTTTAAGAAAGAAAAAGATTATTTATTTTTTATGAAGTTTAAAATTTCATTACTCGGATCTTAAATTTTAAATTAGGTTTCCGAGAGATCGATAAATTGCATTTCTCCATTTTCTTAATTTTTTCATGTTTTATAGAAATTTTCTATTTTTTAAACATAAAAAATTATATCATTTCTAATAAAGCTAATTCATATGGTAATCCGAATGTTATTAAATAACTTCATATAGTTGATTTTTATTCCTAATTTGTACATCCCTAGGATTGTGTTTATGCATGTGTCATATGGCAGTACGCATTTAAATTAGTGGAAGAGTTGAAACAAAATAGATTAAAGAAATTTAATTAGAAAGAATATCTCTCTATATATAAAATTTCTTATTTCTTTTATCCTTTATTAGCAAATATTTGTCGCATAGTTAGTCAGAAAACAGGTTACAGAATATTACTACCTCGAAATGGTACGATACATTTAAAATAGGAAATTAAGATTTAAAACAATTGTAATTTGCAACCTTTATATCCAAAAAATTGTGTTCATTTATTTCTTTTTTTTTTTTGTAGTAAAATGTATTTAATATTTGAAATATAATGGGATATTTGTGCTTTATGTAACCTAACCTCATTATCGTATAACATTTCTTTATTGTTCTTAATATATTTCTTTTGCAGACAAATATGACGGAAGAAATTCAAAAAAATTTAAAAACAGAAATAGACAAGTACAAACAGGTTCAAAAAGGTATTCTTAATTTCTGTACATATATCATATTTTACGTGATATATCGTGTAATTATAATTAATAAATATCCTGTTACACATAGATTCTGTTTGTATCAGATTACCACAAAGCATTGAATCAAAGGCAACAGCTGGATGGACAATTAAATGAGAATATTGCCGTAAAAAAAGAATTAGATCTTTTGAAATCAGAGGATGATGTTTTTAAATTAATTGGACCTGTTCTCATTAAACAAGATGTAGAAGAAGCAAAACAAAACGTTGCTAAACGAATGGAATATATCTCTTCTGAATTGTAAGTGACCAGATATAAGAATATCATATATATATAAGATCAAGAATAATTATTTTATAATTTTAGGAAAAGAGTGGAAGAATTAATAACGACATTAGATAAGAAACAAGATACACATCGTGAAACATTGGAGAAATATCAACAGATGTTTCAACAAGCTCAAGTGAAAGCATCCCTCTCTCAACCTAAAGCATAATTTTATACATGAAAAAAAATTATATGTTGTCGCTTGTTATGTCAATATCACAAAAGAAAAAAGATCATATAACCATAAATGTCACTATTCCTATTTCTGATTAAATTTGTTAATAAATTTCTTGTGAAGCTTTTACATTTATTTATTTATACAACTGTGTTTATAATTATTCTAAAGCTTGAAAATAATATTGTAATGATGTTAAAGAAATATTAAAATTATTTAACCTAACTTTACTTGTGTTTATATTGAATACTTATTCGACGAGGTATATTCCTATATATATTGCAAAATTTATTATGGACAAAATTTATAACATATTTTTAATATGAACAGATATGAATGAAAAATTCAGTACTTTTTATATCCCAAGAATACAAACATAGTGTACGTTCTACATTCGTAAATATGGCGATTCTCCTATCGCTTGCAAGTTTTGCGATTGACAACTCCGTCATTCACATATCAAATTTAACGTAAATAGTTATATAGTATTATTTTTAATAAAATAAAATGTTATTAACATTGAAACCGGATCATAAAAAACATGTATTACTTCTTATAGGATATACACCGCAAGGTATGTAAAATTATTTTTATTGCTGATTTACTTCATTATAAAGTAATAATTACGTATCTTTTCCAGTTTTACAAGATTTTTGCAAATTAGCACTAGATTATCTGCAAAAAGGGCCAAATATTAAATTATATAACGCAGCAGCTCGTAAGTAAACACATTTTTACTTATTTATATAAAATAATTAAAAAGAAAGTCTAGTGTTAAAAATTTAATTGTTTTTTCTAGAGAAATTGGATGTTGAAGTAAGTGTAATTAAGAATTCAGTGGAAGGACTTGTTAATTTATTAATAGAGAGTTGTAGATATAAGGTAACATAAATTTTATTAATCTATTTGTATTTCTCTTAATTTATAAAATATTATTTAACTAATATTCAACTTTTCCAGCTAAATTCTGAGGACTTTAGAGATTCAATAATATCTTTAGGTTTCTCTGAACAACAAGAAGTTATATTAAGTAAATTATATAATGTTAAAAAAGATGAAATATTGGATACACTCAGAGATATTGGATTTAAGTTGCCAGAATACCATGATATGGAATGGAGATTTGAAGTCCAGGTATTATATTATTTCATCCTTGAACTTTGCATCTTTAATATATCATATTTTTATATTATATGTAATGTATTTTTTCATAGATTGCTTCAAGAGCATTATTGAAACAAGTTGCTCCTCTCATTACTTTGGATTTATCTATAAAGGATCCTGGCAAGGATGAAAACATTGAGCATGTATTACTTCAAACTGACCCTGTTAATTTATCACACATAACACAACAATTAGAAGAGGCTCTTCAAGAAGGTTACAGTCAACACATTCGTAGACTTTCAAGAGCAATAAAATGATGACTTTGTAATATAATTATATTTTATGTAATAAAATATATAAATTATATACATAGAATATATTTAAGTCACTTTTTTTTAGCTGTATATTATAATAAGACATCATGTATTAACTGAATCTATATTGATTATTCCAATTTACGCTTAAGAGCATATGTAAAGTTTCACTTTGATTAGATTACCCTAAATTTAAAATGACGGTAATGTTCATACATCATACTATCCTTTGTAAGAGCAATATAAATGCATTTATTAAGGCTATACATAAATTCATTTGAATATTTTATTGGATGACTTTATTGGATCTTACCATATCAAGCATATAAAAGAAGAGTAGTCTGCTTGTAGTTGCAGTTGTAGTATGTGAACAGTTAAAAGAAATATGTTACGCAAAATTATATTTTAGTGTGAATTTAAATTCAGTTTGTAAAGCCAGTTTATGATGTATACATTCAATGCAACAACTCCTTGTTTCATTGGAGCCATGCCTCCAAATATTTCCATTTTAACAACTACTACAGAACCACATTTTGCAAGGCAAATAATGCGTTTCAATAATCAAACAGTTGTTAGTAAAGTGCCTGAGGAGATGTTACATTTAATTGATACATATTGGTAATTAGCACATTTGTTATTTTTAATAGCAATGAAGTCCATGTTGATATTATTTTATTAAATTTTGAAATATAGGTATCGGTTTCCTCCATTGAACCCATTATGGCATAAAGTCTTAGGTTTAGTTATGATAGTATTAGGTATTATGGGATGGTGTGGAAATGGTGTAGTGGTTTATGTATTTATAATGACACCATCTCTAAGAACACCAAGTAATCTTCTTGTAGTAAATCTTGCTTTTTCCGATTTCATTATGATGGGTTTCATGTGTCCACCTATGGTAATTTGCTGCTTTTATGAAACATGGGTTCTTGGTAAGAAATTTTTATCATATAATTTCGGAAAACTTAATTTTACAAAACTTTATGTTTTAAAACTTTTATTTAGGCCCCTTAATGTGTGATATTTATGCAATGGTTGGATCATTATGTGGATGCGCTTCTATATGGACCATGACAGCTATTGCTTTAGATAGATATAATGTTATAGTGAAGGTATACATGCACATGTACACATATATAAATAGGTATGTTAATAATTACAATAAGAATAATATGATAAGAAAGTGGAATATTCTTAGGGGATGTCCGGAACACCTCTTACCATCAAAAGATCCATAATTCAAATTTTGGGTATATGGTCTTTTGGTTTAATATGGACAATCTTACCTTTAGTAGGGTGGAATAGGTAATATCTTGATTATGAAAATGTATCTCCTATATATGTAAACTAGTGAGTATGCTTAATTATTAATATACCGTACTTATCAATTAGATATGTTCCAGAGGGTAATATGACAGCATGTGGAACAGATTACCTTACACAAGATTGGGTCTCCAAGTCGTATATATTAGTTTATTCTTTTTTTGTCTATTACACTCCATTATTCACCATTATTTATAGCTATTATTTTATTGTTTCAGTAAGTATGTATTTTGAAATTATGTTAATTATTAGTTATATATGTGTAACTGTAATACATTCATTATCATTTTATAGGCTGTTGCAGCACATGAGAAAGCGATGAAAGAACAAGCAAAAAAAATGAATGTCGCTTCTTTACGATCTGGAGAAAATCAAGGTGCTAGTGCTGAAGCAAAATTAGCAAAGGTACCGCATTGTGTATTTAACTCAATTAAAGTGTTAATTTTAATTCTATGAAATATAAATATATTTTTTAGGTAGCACTAACGACAATATCGCTATGGTTTATGGCATGGACACCATATCTTGTGATCAATTACATTGGAATATTTAATCGATCTCTGATCACACCCCTTTTCACAATATGGGGTTCTCTCTTCGCGAAAGCGAATGCAATATATAATCCGATCGTTTATGGAATTAGGTATGTATTTTACGAATACATTAATGCCACCTTAACAAAAGACAATGATTAAAAAATAATGCTAACGATCTATTTTATAAATATACCATATAGTCATCCAAAATACAGAGCCGCGTTAAAGGAAAAACTACCGTTCTTAGTATGTGGCTCAACGGAAGAACAAACCGCTGGAGGGGAGAAAACTTCAGAAGCTGGTGGAAACTCATAAAATGAATCGAAAACTTGAATGTTATTTTATTTTATTGTAAATACATAGAACGTTTTGTAAATTAAATATTATCCGAAAATTGATTTAAGAAGGAGGTGCTCGCACTTTTAAAGGAAATAATGAAATTTATAGATATAGTTGCTTGCAGAATTTATTTGCTTTTATAAAATTAAGGTACAGATGTTCCCTTCATGTTTCATGGTGAATGTGATGTGCTTACTAATCTAGTAAACATAGGGCTGTTACCTGGTGTACCAAAGTGACCATGTATATTGTTACGCAATAAATGTACAAAATTAAAATCATACCTATGAATTGATGTAAAATGATCCGCATTGTGGTGAGATGCGCATCACGCATTCAATCACAGGCGATTCAAATATTGATCATTTAATGTCGCGTATACAATGACTTCGTATACTGGAGTTGTTCCTTACCGAATTAGATGTGCTGGCCATTAGGCTATACTTTTGAATGTTCAAACATATTCGATTTAAACTGCTTTAATTTTGAATGTCTAATTGACCACATTGATAGTTTTGTTATCGATAAAAAATATTTCTTAATGTCATATCAGGTGTTAATATTTACAAATCGTGTCTGTAATAAAATTTGGTGTTATTCTTACCTAGTTAGGTATATTTTAATCTATATTCTTCTGATTGACCGCGTCACAGTTCGAATATAAGTAAGGTGCAGCCATGGCATATATTATTGTTTTATGCATTTGATTTTTCGTTGTCTGCAACAGTAGTTGTACCAGAAACAGTAGATGTAGCGTCTGTGGGTGCTGGTTCGGCGGCGCATGCCAATGATGGGAATCTTGCAAACAGCGCAGCTCGGTATTTCGGGTGGCTGGAAGAGAGGAAAAGGAAAAGAAAAGTTTAATTTTATATTGATTTAAACTTATGTAAATATAACTACCTAATTCCATAAACGATCGGATTGTAAACTGCATTGGCTTTAGCAAATAGAGAACCCCAAATTGTGTAAAGCGGACTGATCTTAACGAGACTGAAGATGCCAGACCAGTTGATGACCAGATACGGGGTCCAAGCCATGAACCATAAGGAGATTGTCATAAGGGCAACCTAGAATCATTATAAAATATTCCGTTATATGTAAAGAAATTTTAAAATAAAATATTCATTACATTAGAAATTTATTACATACTTTTGCCAATTTACACTCAGCACTAGTATTTTGATTTTCAGATGATCGCAGAGAAGCTACGTTCATCTTTTTGGCTTGTTCGCGCATATTCTTCTCGTGGGCAGCTACCGCCTGGATAATATACCAGTAACTCCAAATGATGAGGAACAGTGGGAAGAAGTAAACCCAGATGCTATATAATAGGATGTAGGAGACGGATACTATATCTCTGCTGAAGTAATCAGTGCCACACGCGGTCATGTTACCTTCTGGTACATATCTAAAAAACAGAATCAAGTTTCGTTACTCGTAATCAATCCTCGAATGAAATATTAATAACACTTATCAAAATATTATCGCGATCAACCGAATTACCTATTCCAGCCAAACATAGGTGCGATAGTCCAAATCAGGGAGAACAACCATATCCCCAGTATACGAAGGAGAGCTCCGTTAATGGTCAATGGCTTACCAGATAAACCTTTGACGATCACGTTGTACCTATCGAATGCAATCATCGTCATCGTCCATATGGAGCCACATCCGAACAAGGAGCCCAACATTGCGTAGATTTGACAGAAGAGAGGCCCAAGTACCCATGTCTCATAATAGCAATTGATCACCTGTTAAACAACAAATTATATCAAATTTATTCCATATGCTTGAGTTGCGATAATATTTCTAATGGTGATACAGTATACTATACAGTTAGTTGATACTATACAGTTGAGATATCACTTTTCGATTGGAATTATTTCAAGGATCGAAAAAATAAAAATTGCTTTTTTACGCACCATAGGTGGAGACATGCAGAACATCATAAGGAAATCGCTGATAGCAAGGTTGATTACAAACAAATTACTTGGCGTGCGAAGACTCTTTGTCGAAAGGAATATATAGACGACCATGCCATTTCCCGAAACCGAGATGAAACCAAGCAGACCTATTACAAATCCAAGGATTCCGTGCCACATCGGATTTAATGGTGGAAATTGATACCAGTGGGCGTCGATTAAATGGAGCATATCAGGTGGAACCTTGTCAACCACCGTTTGATTTGCAAACCTTTGGGCTCCATATGCGTAGGCCTCATAACTGGGTCCCAAAGCAGAAATCATCCTGGAATCTGTAAATGTTCAAACACTCCCTTAAGACTTTGTGCTTTTTTTCTTTCCTCCTTCTTTCCTTTTGATTATTTAAACATTCAAATAGTTCGAATGAATAGTTCAAAATACAAAATGTTCAACAGTAGATAAAGTACAATAGACTTATCGTTTCAAATCAAATTTGCCCAAGTCTGGGTTCTATCATCACTATAAATAAGTTATGTAACATTATCAGAAAATTTTAATGCACAGACTTTCCGAGAACACTTGAAATGAACGAAACACCATCACTCCGTTTCCGTTTCTCACCTTTAGGCTACTTGGAGAAAATCGTGGTAGAACGAACTAATCCAAGTACACGTCTCAGTTCGATTTCGGTTGACCGCGATAGGTTTTTGAAATTTAACAGAAGGTTGTAGGTAGGTTGTTAGGTCCACTGTTGGATGCGGCTCGTGTCACCGCCGTTCGACTTTCGTTTAAATATGAACCGATTTCTTACTTCGACCCTGCCATATGTACCCTTACGTTTAGTTTTCTATATGTTGTTACGATCTAAGACGGTAAACAGTCTTAAGAAGGACTTTATTAAGTTAACGAGGATTTAAGAATACCTTTGGTGTATCTTTAGTGCCA